TGTCAGGGTCTATAGTGGGCTCAGGTGTGTGAGGGGGACACTGGGCAGGGTAAAAGGGCAGCTCTGAGGCTTTCAGTATGTGCTGCAGGTGTTGGAGAGCCAGGACAAGGACCATGTGTCCTGTGGCAGATCCCAGCAGGAAGAGGCTCCCAGTAACCAAAGAGGAGCAGATGGGACTTTGCAGCAGTCAAAGGCACAAAGGAGAAGGGACTGTAGCAGGGATGGAGAGCTCTGGATTAGGAAATGCTTGGAGTAGAGGCAGGGAAAGGTGAGTTTATGCTGTTTCTGCCACACTTTATGGTTCCCCCCAGACTCTGAACCTAGAGACGCTTTATTGTTACAGAAGCTTATTTGACAGGATGGGGGGGTGGTTAATAATTTTTCTAAATAAAACTGACAGCTGTTCCCCTCTTGGGCTTCTAGAACCATCCTCACAGAGCCCTGTGAAATCAGAGGTACAGAAACCTGAGAGCCGTGAGTCCCAGGTGAGGGGTGTTGGTGTGTCCTGTGCCTCAAAGGCCAAGGTACAATTTCAGCTTTTCTCATTGCAGTGGTGCAATTCACACAATAAACGAGTTTCCTGTTTATAAAGCTCAGCTTATAACCTATTTTCCCCCTCTATTTCTTGCAAATGGAAAGAAGGGCACAGCAAGCATGACTCGTGTGTCAGCTGCTCTGTGAAAAGCTGGTGCTGACCAGGCAGGAGGCAGAAATCTCTCCTCCAAGTGAGTGTGTATAAAACACTAAATGAGTTGCGATGAGAGCAACAGCTCTGATGGAGGCACGAGCCAAGAACAACAGCTTGACAGGCAATTTTACACTTTCCCTGACAGCTCCTTGGGGCGTAGACAGTTAAGTTTCTGCGTTTGTAAGGGAAACATGGCATTCCTTACAGCTGAGCCTCCTCCCTCGGGTTCCCACTGAATGCCTGAGAGATGACAGCAGAGGGTGTCTCCAGAAGGCTCCTATTAAACAGGAGGAATTAGCACGGAGGGAGCAACAGCGAGATCCCAGTTTTGACCACAGAATGAGCTAAAAAGTGTTGCATCAGCAGCTGTTTGCAGTTTCTTACCCGCTGGCTGCGCACAGCTCCCGTTCAGGGGGCTCCTGTGCCCTCCTCTTGGTACCTCCGCCCTCCTGGAGTGTGAAGGGCTGTGCTGGGAGGGCAAATCGGCTCCAAACCGAAAGTGCTGAGGCGGCGTGAGGCAGGGCAGATTCACCTTGGGAGGGCAGCCGTGGTTCAGACACACTTACAACTAGTCGGGTGTCCCCAGCAGCACGAACCAGGCGGGCAGGGGAGCGGGTGAGCTGAGTATGTGGACAGATGGAACAGATACAGACAGGAAATGGGGAAGGAAGGGGGGAAATTAATGTTTGTAAAGCTTTAAGGGGGCTCTGGTTAGTTCTGAGAAAGAGGTTGAGCCCTGCAGTCCAGTTTCTGTTTTTAGCTCTGTGACCGTATAACTTTGGGAGGCGATTTGAGCAGTTCGAGCCAGGTGTGAGTGGGGAGAGGACAAAAACCCGTGGGCACCAGGCAGCTCATGCGATGTGGCAGCTGCCACCACACCCTTTCCTGTTCGCCCCGCGGGCAGCCCTGCCAGCCGCGCTGCCTGAGTGAGGAGAGAGGGGGAAAGGAGTGCTTTCCAAGATGCTGATAACCCCCAGCACCCGGCATTCCTTGGAAAAGGAGAGGTAGTGAGCAGCTCTCGTGGTGTCTCTCCCCTGGGACAAGTCAAACGCTCCCAAAAGCCCCGGGAGCTGCTCCGGGGTGGTGCTGACTTTTGGCCGTGCCTCAGCCTGGCTCCTGTTACAGGCGATGTTGACTTAGGGAAAAAGGCACCGGGCATACTTGGCATGGGCGTTCCGAGTTAAAAATTGTCAGTCTGGGCAAACAGACCTTTGGGGTGAACTGCAGGAGAGCCAAGTGCCTGCACTGCGTTATGGCAGCTCCTGTCAGAACACCAGGGGCTGACCTGGTGCTGCTCTGGGTGCCGAGCGCCCGGCTCGGCGGGTTTGGAGAAGTGCTGCAGGTTTTGGAGCTCCGTCCTTTAGACCAAACCCATTTCCTTCCCCTCGGTGAGGTGCTCGTAGTGCCTCAGTGAGTCAATAAGCTCTGCATGTGAGGAATGCACCTCCCAGCTGAAGGTGAGCCATTGGTGTGGCTGTGCTGGAGGCAAGGAGACTAATTAGTCCTTCCCTTAGACTTTGAGCTGCAGAAGTAAGATAGGTGAGATATTTAGCCTGGAATATCCATGTGAGGCATTTTCAGATGCTGGTTTTAACGGTGTGAGTCTCACACAGGATCTGTGTCTTGGTCCTTAGTTCTGTAGCAGTGTCTAGTTAGGAGGATAACCTGTACCTGGCAGATTTGGGGCATTCCTGATGGATTTGGGCACGTGTTCTAGGAGCTGCTGTTTACTGGCAGGGTGAAAGTGAGATCACAGTGCTGTGGTGGGGCTTTGCTGTGAGTATGGAGAAACAGGGAAGCAATTTCTGTATTAAAATATAATAAAGTTTGGGTGAGTACAAAGTGTCCTAAAAGGTCCATTCCTAGCATGGCAAGGTCCTGCTCCTTGCCTGCTGAGGAGCAGCTCTGCTGTGTGTCTGTATCACAGAATCCCAGGATGGGTCAGGTTGGAAGGGACCACAGTGGGTCATCTGGTCCAACCTCCCTGTTCAGGCAAGGGCATCCCAAAGCACATGGCACAGGACTGTGTCCAGATGGCTGGAATATCTCCAGTGAGGGAGACTCCACACCCTCTCTGGGCAACCTGTTCCTGTGCTCAGTCATCCCCACAGTGAAAAAGTTCTTCTTTGTGTTCAGGTGGAACTTCCTGGGCATCAGTTCCTGCCTGTTCCTCTTCTCCCATTGCTGAGCCTCCCCCCCCGAGCAGAGGCTGGTCCATCCCCTGACCCCTCCCTGCACACACTGACAGACATGGATGGGACCCCCTCTCAGTTGTCTCTTCTCGAGGCTGAGCAGGCCCAGCTCACAGAATCATCAAGGTTGGAAGAGACCTTTAAGATCATCAAGTCCAACCATTCACCCAGCAATGCTACTATAATCCCTAAACCACTACAATCCTATCACCCAGTGCCAGGCCCAGATGCCTCTTGAACACCTCCAGAGATGGTGACTCCACCACCTCCCTGAGCAACCTATTCCGTGCCTGATTGCCCTAAGAGTGAAATTTTTTTTCTAATATCTGACCTAAATCTCTTCTGTCTTAGATTAAGGCCATTTACTCTGGTCCTCTCACTGCAGGCACAATAGAAAAGACTGTCCCCCGCCTCACTACGACCTCCTTTCAGGCAGTTGTAGAGACCCATGAGAGCTCCCTCAGCGTCTCCTCCTAACGGAGATGCTCCAGTCCCTGGATCAACTTTCACCCTCCACTGGGCTCGCTCCAGGACCCCCAGGTATCTCGTCCCGAGAAGCCCAGAATCCTGCAATACAAGCGCCCCAAAAGGGAGAGAAGTGCCCATAAAAAGCGGAGAAGTAAAACCCTCAACCACCGCGGTGTTGGCGGGGCGGGGACTCGAACCCGCGTCCCTCCTTCCGCGCCTCGCGCTGCCCGGCGCGGGGCGCGGCGGCCCCGCCGCCGCCCGGAAGCGGAAGTGCCGCGGCCGCGGTTCCCGGCGCGGTTGCCGAGCGGCGGCCGCTCCGCCCGCTCCGTCCCAGCCGCTTGCCGCTCCCGGAGCCCCCCGCGGCCATGAGCGCGGCCGGGCTCGTGTCCGCCCCCCCCGCCGCCCCGCCGGGGCCGCCCGCCCCCGCCCATGGCCCCCGCGCCCGACTACTACGAGGAGGAGGAGCTGGAGAGCGCCGAGGAGGAGGACGGCGAGCGCAGCGCCCGGGCCCGCGACTCCGATGAGGGTGGGTGAGGGTTTGGTGCCCTGGGACGGCGTGGGAGGGTGGGATGGAGAAGGGGACGCACCCCGGCCGGGAGGATGCGGGAGGGTTGGGTGGTTAAAGGCTCTGGAGCAGCGAGAACGCCTGAGGAAAACAAGGACCTGTCGGGTTGCAGGGGTGCCCCCGTGGGAGAGTAGGACAGCCGAGTCCATGGAGAGGTGGAGCTGTGGTTTTCCGGGTGAGGAGGAGGGAGACGGGAGGGCGCTGGGCAGGGGGGATTGAGTGGGACAGCAGGGGGAAAATAGTGGAGAAACCCAGTGTATGGACTGAGTGGGACAGCAGGGGGAAAACTGGGGAAATTCAGTATTAATTGTGTGAGATAGCAGGTTAAAAATAGTGGAGAAATGCAGTGTATTGATGGAGTGGGGCAGCAGGGGGGGAAATAGTGGAGAAATCTCGTATATTGGTTCTATTTTTGTGGTGTGAAGGGGGAAGGAGGCAGCTAAGGGAGGAGAAAGTGTGGACAGCAGTGGGGGAGTGTGGGAGGATGTGAGAGGGAAGAGGGGATTTGTAGAGGAGAAGAAGAAATGAAGTAAAACACGAAGTACCCAGGGGTGTAGGGTGCATAAAATAACAAATAAGGGGGATGGAGGAAGACCCTTGGACAGTGCCTGTTGCTGTCAGCAGAGCCCTCCATCACCTCTGCTGTGGTCATGGATCCTGACAGTGTTTAGGTAAGTCAGGGCTCTCCAAGGCTACACACAACTAAATTGGGCATGGGAGTCCTTTATGGTGACCCAGACGTCTTCAGTGCTTTTCTTGCAGTTAAAACTCTTTGGTTTATCTTTGGTGTGAGCTTAAACCGTTGGTAGGTTTAGAAAAAAAAAATCTGAGAAAGGTTTGATTTAAGGGTCTGGGCCCCCTTCCCTGTGTGGGGAATGTAGCTTTAATTAAGTTTCACAGCTGTGCCCTGTAAAGCCTGGAGACACTGACCTCTCCTTGGGGAGGAAATCTGATGGATTCTTGGCTACCCATGTGTTATAAATAGAAGCCTGAAAATGCTCTAGCAGAAAACTAGCAGCCCCATAGTGGTTTAATTTATGTTACCTGTTTATAAAGTGGAGCTGTTTTTGTGTTAGTGCTGGTGTTTGTTGTTAAACATTGAAGTGCTTCTGAGTGTTGTGTAGCTTTGAAGTAACAGCAAGTAACTGTTCTCTTCAGTGAGACCTTTCAACCTGAGCAGCTTTGAGTGGGTGGAACTGTAGTGACAAGCTTGTGAAAGGTCTTACAGAGTCTTTCCTGTCTCACCTGTGTATGTGGGACCATTAATGCAGAGCCTGTTGTCTTAAATGGGAAGAAATTCCCAGGCTCCCTGAAGTTGGAGTTGTTCAGACTTGATGTAAAGCTTCACTGCAAAACTCCCAGTTGCAGGAAGGAGATGAGAGGGTTTGTTCCACCCTTGAATTCATCTCTGCAGAGGCCCCTCAGGTTGTGTCTTTGAGGTTAAATTGCCTGAAGTTTGGGGCTTGGTTTTGTGTTTGCTTGTTTTTAAATATTTTTTTTTTAATCTTTAATTTTAACAAGTTGGTTTTTACCTCCTTTAGACACCGAGGATGCCAGTGAGACTGACCTGGCCAAGCACGACGAGGAGGACTTTGTAGAAATGAAAGAACAGTAAGTAACCCACACTAATCCAAAGTAAGGTAATATTCTGTTTATTTGTGGGCTTGGGGATGTCATTTTCACAAAACTGCAGAGTTTTGAGCCAAGATTGGGGTTTTTTAAATGCCTAGCCCAATGGAATAGCTCATAAAACCATATACTTGTATTTCTGCTCTTCTCAGTTACTTTCTCTGGTCTGTATGTATTCAAGGAATTAAGTGCTGCTGCTGTTTTGGTTAAAGAGACAATTATGACTTTTGAGTTTTGCTGCAAATGGCTCCTACTGCTTTAAATAAAACAAAGGATCTGCTTTATATAAGCTAAGAAAAAGCAAGATGCCTGTCAAAATCTCTTAAACAATGGAATGCTAGTCCTGTCCCAGAAATGGGCTTTTTGGAGACTGGAAGTAGTTTGCTTGATGTTTAGGAGTATTTGCAGTATTTTGAGTTCTTGCTTACTGGAAGTGACGTGTTTTACACAGGCCAGGAAGGCTTGGCCTGTGTTAAACCACAGATACTTGGTAAAGGAAATGTAGGTTTGCAGCAGAACCAGGAACAGACTTTGGGTTTTTTTTTTTAATAATGTCAAGATCTACATGAGGACATGCCTTGTGTTACATGTATGGAGCTAATATACAAATAGTAAGACTTGGCCAAGTGGCAGGATGATTCTGCTGTAAATTTGTGGGTCTAAATGTCATTTTAGATATTAACATTAATAAATATCAATTCTATTTTATCGTGAATTGTTCCCAAAATATTTGGTTCATAAAACCAGTGGGGTGGCAGAGGGTTTTTCTTTTTAGACAGAATGAAAACCTTTGAATTTGAATAAAATTCTTTTAATTCATCATTCATTTGTTTCCTGAAGTTCTGAAAAGTTCTTAATTCTGTGTCAACGTGTTGTAACCTAAAGAGATGGTGGAATAGGCTCTGTCTGCTTGGTTTGCAAAGTAAAGTTTCATGCTGACTGTCTTTGCAGGATGTATCAGGACAAACTGGCATCTCTGAAGAGGCAGTTGCAGCAATTGCAGGAAGGTAAACTTTGAAGGGGGACTTTTTTACATTCCTAGACAATTTTCAAATGCCATGGAAGGATGGGGGTGTTGAAAGATGTAAGCTGCATCCTTCACTGCATGTGGGCTCTCAGCTGTGCTGCTGAGTTAAAAATGTCAGCCACTTCCATCCTTTTCCCCTCTAAACACTTGGTGTTAATCCTCTGTGTGCTGAAGCATTTCTTAAAAGGAGTAATCCACTTTCCGAAGAAGCAGGGAATATGCTTTTTCAAAATTAACAAGATAAAACTGTAATTTTCTGATCTCAGATTTTAGTGTTTGTGCTTCAAGTGGTGCACGGCTCCTTTAGAAAATTTAATATTTGGGGGGAGAAAAAAAAAATCAGTGGGAATCTACAATTTATTTCCACTCCAGGTACTCTTCAGGAATACCAGAAAAGAATGAAGAAGTTGGACCAGCAGTACAAAGAAAGGATACGAAATGCAGGTAAGTGGAATTTCTCTGTAAGACACTGCATCCAACTTAAATTTATGGATTTTAAAACACCTGAAGAAAGAAAGTGGTAATTCTGTGCTTTAAAGAAAAGGAATCTGCTGGAGCCAAGGGTTCTTCTGCTTCCAGGGATGTAGTAGGTACAGTGTGAGTTGTTTCAGATTCTACCAAGCATGACAGGATCTATCTTGATTATTTTTTTTCCCCCTCATCAGCATTGTTTTCTGACTGATACTAAACACTAATAAACAGTTTTAGTCTTCATTTGTGTGAAACAGCACAAGTAAAAACAGTTATTTAGTTTTTATCTGCCTAACCCCCAGGCTCCCACTTTGGCTTGTTGTTTTGTGCCACTTGCTGAAGGTGTTGGGTGCCCTGTTCCCTTGGGTTTGCAGGACTGGAATTTAGGAGCACATGCTTTCCCAGAGATCTGTTTTGTGCCCCAGAACAATGAATACAGAGGGTTTGCTGCTGGAACTGTTACTCTGCATAGCTGGGACATGGAAAGGGCTGCCTGTACCTTGTGTTCTGCTCTGTTCCAGGAGCAAAGGCCCAAGTTCATTTTTATAGTGCCCAGCTCTCACCCCTCTGGGTGGCCTTTATTGTGTTACTGCAGAGGAATGGCTTGGAAATCAGGTCTCTTTGCTTGCCCTCTCTCTTTTTTGTTCTCTTCCTAGGAGGTTCTTATCTTGGATGCTGAAGCAGGGCCTTTCATAGAGGCCATTATGTGGGAATAGGAATTGTAGCTGTTCCTCCTTTAGAGAAGTTGGATGAATCCTGTGATACCTGGGAAATACAGCAGAGAGGCAGTGGCAGTTGTGTGATGGCCAACACACTCTGACCTTTGAATAGTGTGAATTCTGTCTTTCTAAAAGTGCTTGGGATGATAAAGGATTTTCTTGAGTAATTTAAGTGATTTGAACTGCTTCTTGTTAACAGGAATTTGTGTTTTGAGATGAATTTCATGTGCACTAGAGCTGCATCCTGGCAATACTGGGTTGTTTTGATAAAATTAAGACTAAGTGCAAGCTGGTATTTCTGGCTGGCCAAGGCCAGTGCTGCAGCAGCTTGTTTCTTCCACAGGAGGGCAGGTGGTGATAACTTTCAATTTTGTGATTAAACAATCCAACTGCTTCCATGCTCAGCAGGTAGAGCTCTTTGCAGACAAAAGGTTTGATTTTCTACTGAGCCATTATTGTTTTGGGTATTTATTTTATTGATTTTGTTTTTTAAATTCATGTTTAAAAAAGCCCAGCAGTACAGTGTTGCTACTACAGTCTTTTCCAAAACATATTTGAAGCTTGTGGTCTTTACAGAAGCTTTTCCTGTCTCAGGTATTACCAAAGCTTAATATGCTGATGAAATACAGTGACTTGAAGGCTGATCAGGTGCCTTAATTTGCTTTTGTTGCCACTCTATTGAGTAAAAACTCTGTTTTGGCCGTTATGTTCTCTAGGAAATGCAATCCTGCTTAATTTCAAGTTGTTAGAGATGGTAAAAACATCAGTAACAGGACTATTTCACACCCTCAAATCCCTTCAGCTCATCCATAGGTCTGACTTGAACTAATTGCCATGTGTTGGCACTTAACCTTCAGTGCTACACAACAATTCCCTTGTTTTCTCAGGCATAAGGAGTCTGAAATCACCTGTGTGAGTTGAGTAGATCAATCTTCTGACAGCTGCAGAATTATTTCTTAACCAGTCTTTGCTGAAATTCATGAAGTTGGCTTAAACTGTGAATATTTAGTTGCATGTTTCAAGCTCCTGTATGGGAAGTTTTTATCTAGTCTTAATTGATTGTAATTTTAATAGGAAGAAAGATGAACTACCTGCTTAGTACTGCTGGGAGTAGTAGCCAAACTGAATATTATGGAATACTGCTGTGCAAGCTTTTCAGTTTGCTGGCAGTCTGTAAATAACTTACATTAACAGCATGTTTTTGTGAAATTCTTTCATGGTTACTTTATTTTCAGCATAAAACTGAAAAGTGAGAGTAGAGGTGGGATGAGTACATACACTATTTGGTTCACTACCTGTCTTGGCTGCAATATTCAGTGGCTTAAAATGTTAAGGAAGTAATTTTGTGCATCTTTGAAGATAATAAAGTAAGTCTTTCTTGCATTTCAGAACTGTTCCTGCAGCTGGAAGTAAGTACTCTTAATTTACTCATATATATAGGTGGTAGAGGTATAAACTTGTTTCATCAACCAGTACTTGGGCTTGTTTTCCAGGGAGGCTTAAAGAAATTTTCTTCCTCTATCTGGCTTTGTTACACTGGAGTTGCAGTACAGCCTACTGCTGGTATTACTTCAAGTAACTTCTGCACTTTGGTGTTAAAATAGTATTAAATATTTGCTTTTGGGCTGTTGTGTCTGGCTGTGCACTGGGTTGCCTAAAAAAAGGTTGTTTAGGGCAATAAATTATAGTCCTGTTTATAAATCTGAGGAGACTTGATATGTTATGCAACATTAAAGTGGCTTTTTAAAAATAATTAACTCTTTAGCCAATATAATGGTACTAAGTCATATTTAGATGGTTTTCTGTTGATTATGAATATTGATAATCTTTAGAACTCCTACAGTTTTGAACTGAAAGGCTGATCAATGAATTTGAAAAGCTGTTGTGATATCATTAACTAGAATCATTGGTCTCTTAATTAACCTTCTTGCTCTTCTGGTTTGCATTAGACAGATCAGGTGGAGAAAAATTATGTGAAGGAAAAGAAGGCAGCAGCAAAGGAGTTTGAAGATAAGAAAATTGAGCTTAAGGAAAATCTGATTGCGGAGCTGGAAGAGAAGAAGAAGATGATTGAGAATGAAAAGCTAACCATGGAATTAACAGGGGGTAAGAAGAAGATAAGCAGCTGTCACTTATCTTATCCACTCTGCTGCTGCTTAGGAGAAAAAACTCTAAAGGTGGCAATGGTGGTTTATACAGACAACTGGTGTGAAATGCCAGGAGGGCAAAACACAAATTGATGGCCTTTTAATGGAGAAAGCAGTTCCTAATAAAATTGAGTGACCTGAATTGCTGACAGGTGAATCAAATAGTGCCAGTCAAGCAGCAGAGTGGATGATGGGCTTTCTTATAGACAGGGAAATGGGCTGATTTAGTTCCTGTGATCTGGCAATAAAACTATTGAGATATATCACAGTACTGACCTGACCAGTGATGCCAGGTTGTAAACTGTGCCCTTTTCTTCCTGCAGTAGTAGGTGTCAAGTAGTTGAAGAAAGGCAGACAATAAACGTTGAAATATTCTACTTTAAACCAGAAAAATAGTTTTGTGAACTGCTTTTGTGTCCAAATTTACATTAAATGGACAGATTTCTTTGAGAGCAGTTGATGCCTTTGCTGCCTTGGCAGTGCTCATTGTAGTAATTGGCACAGTTGAGCTAATTTGAGGGGTAATTAACCTCCTGCAGAATTGCACTGCTGTGATCCTGAACCAAAAGTCTGATTTGTTTCTCATTTTGAGAGCAACTCCTTCACTTCCTGCATAGATAGTGGTTTCCTTGTTGAGGCCTGTCCATGAGTTACACCCTTCACATCTTTCTTGCATACTATCTACAGGTGTTATATAAGCTAATAATCTAATTAGTGCTCAGAAGTGAGAATTAAACCTTGTTTGGACATCTTCAAGAGTTCTTTTGTCTTGGTACAAACTGTTGATAACTCAAACAGCTTGAGTTATGCTGTTCCCCTGATAACTTTTTTTAATTACCAAGTCTGGTCTCGTGGTCATCCTTGTTCACCCTTGAGATGAGGAGACAAGGAATTTGGTGTATTTTGCACATGCAGAGCTGCTCAAGGTTTCAGCATCTAGAGGGAGCCAAAGGGGCTTCACAGATTGTAGTGGTACCTAAAGCTGAGCAAATAAATCTCAGCACATACAAAGAGAGGGGACATGATGTGTTTGGCATTGAAGATGTGGTCTCTTGGTTGCCAACATATCTTCATAAATTAAGGAATGAGTTCTGAGGGTTTTGGTGGAGTTGTTCAGTTAAGGTTCCGTGTAGACACTTGGACAAACTGCCATTTCAGATAGTTCCTTGGTGAGGGGACTGGTGTTTCACCTTTAAACAGGCTTTTTTCCTTGTTCCCCAGTGCATATGCTGCAGTTTATTTCCTGTCAGCTGCTGCTCTGCATGTTATTAATTAGGTTCATTTCATTAATAATTTTTAGATAATCTGAATTTGAATTCTATTTGTTTAAAATCACTCCAGCAGACTTGTATCAGTCTTGAATGCAGTAACTTCCTGTATTCCTTTGACAAAGCTGTTTTTCTTGATTGAAGATGAGAAAACATTAATTGATTTGTAGCAGATGTTTGACATGCTAATTATGATCCAAGTTTTGTTGGCAAAGAGCTGCATGAACTTGGCCTTTTAAATGCTCTGTCCCAGGCAGATAGAATTAGCACTGAAGAAATTTTCCTGGAATCCTTGTAGCATCATTGTGCTGCTTATCTGTACGTGGAGCAGCTGTAAATGACAGCTGTAACCATGGCATTGCAGCAGTCACTGAACAGTGACCTGATGGCAAAGAGAACTTGTGTTCACTGTCAGCACTTCCCACTCCGGGTGCTGGAAGCTCTCAAAAAAAAAAAGAAAAAAAATTCAATTTGCTGTATGAAAGAGGAAAGATTATTTTCCTTGTGCCCTGTGTAGAAAGCTGCTGCTGCTTTCTCCTTTTTTTTCTGGTCTTATCAGCTCTCCAACTTCATTACTCTCCAGATTCAATGGAAGTGAAGCCTATTATGACAAGGAAACTGAGGCGACGACCAAATGATCCAGTTCCCATCCCAGACAAGAGGAGGAAACCTGCCCCTGATATCCTTTCACAGAGTCATTGGAAGGCTGTTGGATTTGAAGCCAGTGTGCCACCTGCACCTTTGTGTTGTGCAGGAAAGAAAATGAAATTAAATGCTAGGATCAAATTTACCTTAGGAAATAACGAAGGACAGTTATCATGTCTAATGTGTGATAAACCAATATAGCAGTTATATAATGTAATATGTGTATGTAAAAACCTCTGTTTGGAGATCCCTTGGTATCCTAACTGAAACCTTACAGTATCATGAGATAACTTTATATTTGTCAGAATAGTTTGAATTCAACAGACAAATTTTTTTCACAAAGGAAAAACTTTGAAAGGACATTATATTTATATGCTGAGATAATTGATTCCATAGATAGTAAATGGCTTTTTACATGAGCCAAAGCTTTTCTCATTTCAAGATGTGACAAAACATTCACCAGGAAGATCATATTTCTCATATCAAACTAGTTTTTCCATTTCTGATAAAGGCTTCAGATCCCTAATCCAGAAAATGCATGGCAAAAGCAAGGAGTGGTAGATTTGTTCTTTGAATAAGAAAAGATGAAAATTCATCCTGTTTTTATGTCTCACAAGAGAGAGAAACACATGTATATGTAATCCTTCTGTTCTGCCTTGTTGCATGTCTCAGAATTAAAATGTTCCTTGGCTTCTGGAAATATGTTTTTAGCTCCTCTGTGATGACAGGCAGTTTTTATATTTGTATATTAAATTCACCTGGAAATGAAGGCAAGGATATTTATTTTGCAGAGGCTTCTTATTAGATTCTAAACTTGTATGTCTTAGATTAGGAAAAAACTTATCTTAGTGACTGGCATTTTCTGAAGGCAGGATCAAACCTTGAACTCCTGGAGTTCATGCAGGATGGTCACAAGCATCTCCAGTTTTAATTAACCTCTTTCTGGTTGGAGATTCTGTTCACTCTGTCAGGGAAAATATGATCATTTATTAGTGCCCCTATCTCATCCAAAATAAATGAGTTTCATAGTGAACACGACCTGCTAATTGAGCATGATACAGCAGGCACAGTATGAAACCCTCTCTGCCTACCCACACTGGGGGGAGATTAAAGTCCATCAGAACCAAAATCCTGAAAATGCAGCCTAGCAATTGTTAACTTTAGTTTAATGCTTTGAATACTTTTGACTTAACAGCTGTTTTGGAGAAACAAAAGGACAGCAAAGCTCTAATAAGACTATAATAGAATAACTCCTGTGTTCTGGGGTTTGGGGTTTGTTTTCAGGTGCATTACAGGCTCTTATTTATCCTCATCCACACAAGATGTGTTTTGTACCTCTGGCTTTAATTTTTCAATTAAATTTTGTATGGCTTTCCTCTCTTCTCTCTATCTCTCTACTCCTGCTTACTGATGAATTTTATTTCCCTGGGTTTGGGTGGGGTTTGGTTTCCTTGTACAAAATCTGGAGTCTGTTGTTCCAGCTCCCAGATTCTTCTCTACAGAAATACAAGACAAAAAGCACTGAAAAAGCTGGTGCTTGATGCCTCCACAAAGTAAATGTCAATGCACTAAAGGTTTTTCATTGATGGTTGTGTCTGAATAAATTAAAGTCATTTTGCACTGTTTGCTGCTAAAGATGAGGCTCAGTGGAGATTGGCTCCTATTAATTCCTATGACAAAAAAAGCTCAAGTATGACACTTAGTAAAATCTTATGCAAATTTACAGAAACCTTTTGGCTTACATTTAGTCAAGTGAAATGTCATTGACCTTTAATTTTTAGCCTTGCTTGTCAAGAGCTTATGGGAACCTTAATTCTGGATACCTCAGCTAAATTATTTGTTGACTGATGAGCAAATAATGGAGGACCTGAGAACGCTGAATAAGGTAGGGATTGTTGCTTGATTGTATTTCTTTGTTTTAAAGAAAAAGCCATTGCTTTCCCCTAAAGAGAACAGAGCTCTCTTTAATGTTCCCTTTTGAGGTGTGGGACTGTTTCATCCCTGTAGGCTTTCTGAAGTAGCTCAATAAAAGATTTAGCAAGATGGTATCTCCTCCCTTTTATTTTAATAGGTTTAATTAACCTAATTAAAATGACTGTCATCTAAAAATGTTACCTTTTGTCTGAACCAAGGGATGAGCTCCTGTTAAGGAGTTTCTTCCTCTGCATGGTTGAACAGGTGTCTCTTTTTTTCTGGGAGATCACAGGCTGCCTTTGGTTTAGGCTTTAGTGGGAGGTGGGGTTTTCATTAACTTGTTTTTCTCCCAGCTGTCACAATATTTCAGCAGATTGAATAGGGGGCAGTGTGCATGCTTATAGTTTTTCAAGTTTTGCTTAACCTATTGCTTTCACTAAACACTTGAAGGCTTGTCTAGTTTCTTACAGTAGGGGCTGCTCATTAAGACATTTGAGGATGGTGGTGGAACATGGGTTTTGTGCCAGCTGTTGAGGTGTTTCTGGTGATTTATCTCCTGTATTTTGTGTACCCTGAGAAATGTTGGATCATGTTCAAAAATATAGTCTGTTAGATGGGTTTGGCTCATTTGAGTGAATTGTCTGAATGCTCTCAAGTTCAGTTTTGTATCATGATCCTGATTATCTGCACCTTTGGCTGTTTATAGCACACTGCTCTGGTTGTATGAAATGCCACTTAACAGTGCATTTAAAACAGAAGCATTGAGAGTATGGAAAGTAAGATATCTGAAATTATTACTGCAGCTTGTAAGGCTCCTGTCAGATCTCTAACACTGCTTTGCTCTCTTCCCATGTAGCTTAAATCACCCAAGAGACCAGGTGAGTTAACAGTTGCATTGGAACTTGCTCACAGTGGTGCTGTTCTGAGCAGAGAATGATATTGTAGATGCTTGACTGTATAATTGCTGACTGTGGAATTTGGCTGTATAATTGTTTTGACTGGGTAATTGCTGTTCTTTGTGTGGCTGCTGTGCTGAATGGGCCCTGTGTGAAGTCTCTTTGTCTGCCCTGACGTTTTTCAGGGATGAGAAGGGAGATGTGTATCTTGGGTGGCTGAAACATGGGACAATCCAACTGTGTAAAGAGGGTTTTTCATTATATTCAGGTGCATCTGGACACCTTGCCTGCTTGTCAGGTCAGTGGAGGGATTGAGCACTTATGGTTTTATGCCTCCAGCTCTCTAGATGTGTCTGTGCACTTAATTTCAAGACAGAGCGGTAGCAACTTGCTTAAGTAATTCTGACCCTGTTTAACTACTTTAGTTTGGTTTAGAATTAAAACAAAACCAAGGACATATCATCCATCACCTACCTATGAATGTTTTTTTCAGTTAAACCTTCAGTGAGTATTATAATTCAAGGCAGAGGTTGAGTTATTCATACCAACATATAATACTTTTCTGAGGGAAATTTGAGTTTTTAGCTTTCTGGGCTTATTATTTCTGCATATATGACCTTATTAACTGCAGTTTTGCAGTCAGATGTGCTATTGTGTGATGGACACATGCTGGTTTTTTAAGCACAGTGTCTCTCCTGTTCTCAGCTTCCCCCTCCTCTCCTGAACACCTCCCAGCTACACCAGCAGAGTCTCCTGCACAGCGGTTTGAAGCCCGGATAGAAGATGGAAAACTCTACTATGATAAGAGATGGTGAGGCCTGGGGGATTTCTGTTTTAATCAGCCTGAGTGTTGTGTAGTGAAGAGGAAAAGGCTGCAGAGAGAAATTGCTTTGATCAAAGAATTTGTGGACAAAATGTTTTTGGGCAGAGTTTGCTGCTTCCCCCAAGGGCTCATTATTGCAACCAGTAAATCAGAAGTGATGGTGGAGTGTTTAGACCCCGTAGGTTTGAGGGATAACTAGTGGCTCCAATAAAAGGAGGCTTGAATCTTTCCCATGGAGTCAGTGATGTCCACTGTGACGCTTAGGAAGTATTTTTGTCAAACCTGATATTAGGTAAGAGAGCCAGCAGCAGACACAGTGGGATGGAGCCATGAAGCTGCTCAGCTTGGATCCAGACACTCCATGATTTTTGGGCACAGTGGTGTCAGCAGCATTCACATTCCAGGGGTTCAGCTTTGTGGAACACAAGCCCAGCATTCCACAAGGTGGCAGAAGAAACGTCATCCACCAGCAGAGCAGGATGAAAAATGTTTCTAATAAATCCAAATAACCTTTAAAGATCAGGCCCACCTGGGAGAGGCAACTTCAGAATTGCTGATTGGATTTAGCTCTGTTGAGTTTTATGGCTGTACAGCTGTACAAGCCTCACAAAACACAAGGAAAATATTAAACTCTGCAGAGAAATCTTAGTAGGTCTTAAACTTAATCCATGAGACATGCAAACCTGGATAATCAAGGGGGCAATCTTGTCCTCCTTGAGCAGAAAGCAATTTGCTTTTTTGTAACCTTCTTCAGTGTTCTGGTGGCTCAAAATAACAAGTGATGAGGTTGTAGTTTTATCACAGAAAATGACAGGTGTGAAGCTTGTTTTCCACACAAGAGTCATCTTGTGCAGTTGGTCACTTTTCCCTTCTGACTGGGATGTTTCATCAAGGGTTCAGTGTACATAGCTCTGATAAAAGCTGCTGCCTGGGTTTAAATGTCCATGAAGCATAAAGCAGATGTGAACTGAACAGGCTTCACAAATTCATCAAGTTCTCTTTTTTTTTTTTGCTTTCATAGTCACTTTACACACACAAAAAAAATTATCTCCGGGGTATATTTGGATGAATCAACTGTTCTTCAGAATTTTTAGTGTGTGGGGTACTGAAAAGCGTTCACTAGTAAAAAAAAGAAAAAAAAATGGAATCTGAAGTAATCTGCCAGTAAAGCTCCCAACTTCCCACTAAATTTAAACCTGGAAGAGATTCAGCGAGCCCAGATGAATCTTACAAAAGCACCAACTCTCTCAGAAGGGTATCTAGTTGGGACATAAAGCACTAACAGATATTTTCATCTAGCTGAATTCAGTTGTCATGAGGGTCTCACTGTCAGGAATTCCAGATGTTGTCTTCCCTATCTACCTTGTTCTTAATGCTGTTTTAAGTTAAGTATTTTACAATTTTTGGCTGTTATAATCCTGCTTAGATTTTTTTTTTTTGATTGATAGTAATAGAACTTCTCCAAAGTAGCTAGTGTTTTAAAATAATGAAATAACTCTTGGTAGTGGGAGGGTAATTCTTTCTAAGGTGCATTAAGAGTGCTGGCATGCACAGAAATACTAAACCTGACAGCTCAGGAGTGACTTTCTCTGTTTCCTGATGCAGCTGTGCATGACTGCTATCTGAAAGCACTGAATGTTTAAGGACCCCCTAAGGTTTTGCAGAGATATTTCACAAATAAGTCTCCAAAGTGGAGAGTTTCAGATGAATGTGGAATTAGATTCAGTTTTTTATCCTCAGTCAGTTTGCTCCGTGCTCCTCCATCGAATCTTAAAATACAGTTCACTGTAAAACAACCATCTTTTTTTTTGCTTTTAGCTTTGCTGCCTTCAATAATGTAGAGGGATTTCTTTCAATCTCCTGATGGAGTTCCAGCTGAAAATCTTGGCCCTTCAGCAAAATATTTTGTAGCAGGAAGTGGAATTGTTTCTGCCAGTCTCACCCGTGAGCACTGCGGTGTGTTTTATCACTGCAACACAAGACTTGTTTGGCACTTTCCCCTCTCTTGAAAGCCAGCTTAAACTCCATTGCATATTTCATCTGGAGTGTTTGCCTGAGTTCTGCCCCTCTGTGGATGTCTAAGCTTGGCACAAGGGTGAGGCATGAAGAGGTACCAGGCTGTGCCTTCAGCTGACCTGTGTGTGCGTGCACAGGGCGTGAGACAGCTGAGACGAGTCCTCAGTGAAACAGTGCTGAGCCAACTTGTTCCCTTGCCTTCCTTCTCCACCATTAACGTGCATTTACTGATGGATGGGAACTTGTGATGTGGAATCCAAGGGCTGAAGCCTGTGCCACGTGTGGTAATCAAAAATTGAAAGAAACAGCTTTGAGTGGGGAAAAATATTTCATTATCTGTGCAGGCACAGATAACACTTGAGAGGTGTCGTTTGCACTGGTATCTTCTGCACTGATACTGATTGTATCAAGATCATCAATTCTCCTTGCTTAAGCACTCACAGCGTGGTAGGACACTGCTGGACTGAGATTTTTGTCTTATCTTAGTGAGGCCTGGGGTTTGTAGTAGCTTATTCAGTTCCTTTGTATCATTTAATGATATCTGGACTCACTAAACTGTGATTTTTTTTTGGCTTAACATCATTGTTGCTGTTGCATTGTCCTGAAACCCACTGACATCCTTTCTGTTAAAATGAAGGAGAAAGAGCAATGGTCAGGCACAGGTGTCAAAAGGTTGCAGGATTTGGGGTTTTTTTATTACCTCACCCAGCCTGTGGGTAGTGAGTAAGTTCAGAAGGCTCAAAGCTGACACTCATTCTAGTTACTGGCAAGCAATGTGAAAATTCTGAGTATGTGAGCCAGTAGGAAGACATTGTGGAATAAACCATGGGAAGACTTCCATATTTACAACATGGTTATTTTAGAAATAGCTGTAAAGATTAAATAAATCCATGCATTTTGCAAATGGTGTTCAGACTGCAGGAGTTGTACTGAGTAGCTACTGAGGGAGTAGCTGTGTAGTGATTCTGCAGCTTGGATTGCCCTGATAAATATGAAGCACATCATGATTAGGGTAAAGGTGGAAATACAGTTATGCTTTTATGATTGTAAAGGATTTTGGTGCTTGCTTGATTATCTACTTACAAATCACCTGTTTCAGTGTGATTAGTTCTGCCTACAGAACTCTCCTAGGCAGAATAAACAGAAACTGGGGGAGGTTTGGCTGCAGCACTTAGAGAAATGTGGGCTGTGAAGGGGGCAGGTCCCTGGAAACAAGTAATTCAGAGTTATGACTTTCAAAGTCTTTGTTTTGTACACAACACATTAAGAACAATACATAGCTTAAAAAAAAACAGGGGGGAAATGGATATGTTTAATCACAGGCTCCTAATGGCAGGTATATACAGTTTGTTATGGGCCCAGAAACCCATCACTTACCAGTTTGGGTATTTTCACAAAATAAAACAGTATTAGAGATTTGAGGTCTTGTTAAACAACACACAAACTGCACTGATTGAGGATAATTCACTTTGGTTGGTGGTGGTGCACTATAATTTTGTATTGGGAAATGTTAATAACTTTTGAGTATCTGTGACTTCCTCTGTCATATTTTACGAGGCATAATTTGGAGTTGCCTTCTGAAATCCATCCCGTGTCTGAAATGTGAAAGGCCGCTTGGATCAGCTCTTGCTGTCAGTCAGTGTTCTCTTGTGTTGTGGCTGGTGCTCTGCCCCTTCCTCTTGCAGATGTGAAACCTGTTTTCAGTAGGCTGCATGCAGAGTTGAATGTGAATCATGCATTCCAAAATATCACGAGATGGAAGGTGTGGGTGTGCAGAACCGGAGCACTCGCCGTGTTGCGAAGATGGAGAAAGTGGTGTGGAAAGACAGGCTTCAGACTGGCTCTGTCCAGATGCACATGGAATCCCAGCTTTATCACCTGTGGTTTCATGTGTTTCCTTTCCCTTTTTGCTTTCTGCAGGTACCACAAGAGCCAGGCTATTTACCTGGAGTCTAAAGAGAACACGAAGATCAGCTGTGTGATCAGCTCTGTGGGCGCCAACGAGGTGGTGGGCTGCTTTTGTTTTTCAGGAGGGGAGGGGAGGACATGGGTCTAGTGAGGACTAAGAGTGAACCTTTCAGCAAAGATACATATTTAGTGTGTAAAGAAGCTGAATCCAAGATAAAACCAAGTTGAGAAATCTCTTTTTTTCATATGTGAAGACACTTGCTCTGTTTTTAAAGAATGATCCTATATTTTACAAGTGGTAGCCTGAAAAATGGGTAGAACTGACATGTTGCATCTCATTGGCACTACATTCATAAATTCCATTTCTGTTATTTCAAGAACATGCATACAGTTGTTAATGCAGGATTAAAAGAAATTCCACTGGGAATGCAGAGGAGGATGAGAAAAAACGTTGTCACCAAATTTAGCTGTTGTGAGGGAAGAAGATTCTCCCTGCTAATTGAGAAGCTCTCTGGCAGCATCCATCACTTCCCTGGGAGATGGGGCAGGGCAGTAATTTGTCTGAGGCAATTTCCTTGTGGCTGCTGCTGAAGCCTTAGAGCAGCAGGTGAAGAGCTCCGTGCCCAAGATTGATGTGAGTCGGCTGCAGGAGCAGCAGTTGGGCAAAGGGAGCAGTTTATTCTTTGCTTGCAGATTCCAGACACTTCAGGGAAAGAAATAATAGACTTGAGTGCACTTCTCTTCAATCAGCCAGTAAAGGAACTTTAATTTGTTGTGGCAGCTGAGGGAAAATACTTTATTTTCTTCAGAACGAGTTGCATATGGGATATGTTTGTATCACAACTGTTCCCCTGGCAGTAACAGTTGTGGTGCTCAGCAGTTGATAGTTCAGATAAAGTAGTGGTAGTGTGCTAATGGATGCTAAATGTAGTGCTGCTGACTTGATTAAAGTTATTACTGTTACTTTATAACATTAAAACTGAATTCTTTGGGAGCATCTTACCTGAAACCGTGAGGGAAATGCAATCTATTGATTCCTCCCTGTGAGGGTGGGGAGGCCCTGGCACAGGTTGCCCAGGGAAGCTGTGGCTGCCTCATCCCTGGAATTGTTCAAGGCTAAGTTGGATGGGGCTTGGAGCAACCTGGTCTAGTGCTTTTTGACAAAAAAAACCTTTTCAGTACCTGCAGGAAAGTGTTATTTTTTATTAGTTTATTCAGAAATCTCAGCTTGTTGAGGTTGAAAAAAGGAGGAAGCTTATTTTTCTTTTGAAGGCTAGGAATAAAAAACAATCAGAAATTGTTTTGGTTGTTCCTATTTCCCACCTCTTTTCAGTTTTAGGATTAATAGATGCTCTCCTCTGATGGCACAATATATTGTGTGTCTGAAACATCGGTTTTAAGTTCAGAATATGTCTTGATGTGTTTATTTTTCTGAACACTGTGGCAGATTTTAATGTTAAGTAATTGCACTGTTGTGGTCACTTAAACCTGAACTTTAATATTACTCCAAGTGGAACTTAACAAAGCAGTTAATTTTAGCAAAACTCATGTACCATTCCATCCTATCATGATAAAATGTAAAATTGTACATGTTTGTTGTTTTGTACAGTTGCTCAGAAATTCTTAATTCTTTTGGCAAGCAAAACATACCAGATTCTTGGTAATGTTGCAGCTGATTCTCAATGAATGTTGATTTTAATTTCTCTGGGGAAATAATTGAAGTACAAACACAGGCAAATATTAAATTTATTGTATACTGAGGGCTCCTGTTAATAAAGTCAGTTTATAATTAAAATAATAGAGTTAATAGCTAATATAGCTAAAAAAATAATTTAGGATAAATCAAAGGCCAACATAACTTTATAATCCTTTGCAGTAGGAAATACTGGACTTCTGTCCTAAAATACTCCAGTACTAAGAGCTGGATAATTCTTACTTCATGCACGTATTTAAATATGTTTAAATGCATTAGAATGACATAAAGCAGAGGAGATTGCTCAGACTTGGTTTTTAAAGTACAGGTTTTTGGATCTAAACATCTTGAAAGAGATTTTAAAAATTCTCTGGAGTGGCAGCAGTTTGTCCTTTGGAAGGTGTCGTGTGAATTCTTCCATGCAGGTGTTTAAAAGAGAGGCCCTTTTGTCTTCAGATACCATTTCTGTAATACATTGTGGGAAATGCTTCACGGAACAGAGTCAGGATAAGCTTTTCATTTGACTAATAGTTACTTGCCTGGGCAAATCCCAGGGTAGGTAATTTTATGATCTGTGGATCTAGGGAGACTTATTCTTGATTAGGCAAAGCTTAATGCCACAGTTCTGTTGTGAACTGGAGCAGAAAGGAACCTGCTTTCCTGATGGGGCGTGGAAAGAGTAATTTTTCTTGAGGGCTGTTCGAGCAGGAAGTTAAGGAGGTAAAGTTAAAAACCTTATTTCATGTTCTACTCAGGTTGCAAGTGCTTCATGTGGGGAGGGAGAAAGGATTAACCCGAGTAACAGGGGAGTGTCAGAGGTGTTCAGCTCTGGCAATAAGTTTATTGGTCTGTGTGTTGCTTACTGTGAGTTCTCCCCTTTTACCCCCAATTTATCTCCCCGCCCCATTTTTCATATTCTTTCTTTCCTGCAGATCTGGGTGAGGAAAACCAGCGACAGCACAAAGATGAGGATCTACCTGGGGCAGCTGCAGCGAGGGGTGTTCGTGATCCGCCGGCGATCGGCTGCGTGAGCGGGAGCTCCTCCCTGGGCCTTTTTTTTTTGGTTCTTTTAACTGATCACCAAACCTCTGCTGAGGGGTGTCAGGCTACTCACTCTTCCCAGCAGCACAGAACAATGTCATGACCTCTGATGAGACCGTTTGTGGCTGGCCACATGATCCCCAGTAGTCCTTAAATCTTTAGCGATGCCCAAGCACTGCCCTGGACTATTTCTGGATTTTTGCATCAAGCTTCTGTATGCTCTCTTTGTATTGGGGGGGACTGTTTAACAAGACTTTGCATCATACTTTTGTCATCATCGTTCTGTGGTGCACAGATGGGACTCGTATGTCAAAACAATGTCACGTCTCTGTTTGAAGTCAGACCAGTGGAAGAAGCTTTGCTTGTCAGGACCTGAGGTTGGTTGTTCTTTTTGGCCTTGTTTTCCTGCAAGGCTCAGGATGCTGCAGCTGAAGAGAAGCCTCCAGAACACCTGGTGCCACAACATCAGCTTTATTGGGTGAACTGTTCAAAGACTTGAGTGCTGAGGCTTTTTTTGGACGGTGTGAACAGCTTAGAAACTGCTGAAAATGCGGTGATTTTAATGTAGTTAAGCAGTCACGCGTGGTTAGTCAGAAGCTTCCGTTTCTCTTCACATTAAAAAACCCTTCAGTGAACAAGCAGAGTATGTCTATTTGCTGAAATAGATTACCTGGAATAGGTGGATGACTATAAATTAAAGGAACAATTACCTGGAGTTTGCAGATAGCTTGGCTGTGTGAACTCTGTGTGTGAGTGTAATCATTCGCAGATGTAGTGACAAAAGATAAACTTCATTTTTTTCACTGATGCTTAGAATGACAGGTTGTGGTGGAAGCCTGCTGACAGGAGGTACTGGATCTGTTTTATCTTCCCAAGGAGCCTGGTACAGAGTAGAAAGTGGCATTGCCATACTCTTAGACCATAGCTGGAACCTTCATTCCCTAAAATGCTTTGCAAAGGGTTCCCCTTGAAGGGTGTTCTAATTACTGGAGGTAAACACTGGGGTTTCTGCACTTGCCCTCCTGTGGCACAAGTGAAAATGCTCAAATAATGATGTTAATGCCAAGATGTTTTAAGATCTGACTCTGGCATTCCTTTATTGTTCCCAATCTTTTGCTGATGGCTGGAACCACCAGTGCCATGTGGGACTGCATTGGCAGGAGCCACCCGGTGCCCTGGCACTGCTGTCAGATCTCTGCCCTATGTGCAGAACAACTTTGTGCTGCTTTTGATTACTAGTCAAAAAGTTGTAAATTCTGTCTTCATCAATATCTGTCACTTGGAGGCATTTTTTTTGTTTTTTGCTCTGGAGCTGCCTTCTTGTTCAGCATCAGTTGAGCTGGATAAATGGAATACAGGCAAGGCAGGGGAGTTGGAATGACTGTGTCCATTTCTTTCCTGCAGTTGGGTGGCAGTCACACCCCAAAAACTGATGCATGTACGTGGGTCTGGAGTGGAGTGTGATGGCTGAGTTCTTGATGTGACAGACACCTTACTGATTTTTGCTGTTTGGAGTTTCAACTGGATCTGGAGCTTTGGCAAGGAAGGAGAGGATGTTTCCCACCCCTTGACAACGTGCCATCTTTGCTGCAGCTTAGGCAGGCAGAAAGCAGCAGCCTGGATTTTGTCAAGTTAACAGCTTACTTAATATAATTTAACATTCTCTGCACGTGTCACAGGTTTTTAATAAGGTGGTGATGTACCAAACAGGATTTGTCACCGAGTCTTAAAATGAACAGCATCGTTCTAATAATAAAAAGTGCTTAAGTGAGTAGCAGGATTTATTTCCTGTCTATATCATTTTATCAATATCTATATTTGTGGAAGCAGCTGGGAAGTTTGGTTCAGTGTTGGGGAGATAAAACCTGCTGACAGCAGCTGATCTCTGCTGCTGTGATGTTCCCTGTTTTGGGGTAACTTTGGGTATTGGCAGGAGTGTGGATGTGCAGCAGCTCCCTTAGAGCCAGGTACAGGTACAGATGCATGTTGTGTAAATGTAATTAAACAGCTTCAACACCACATCTTAATCTGAATCTACAACATGTGCTCACCATCAGTGGGCAAAGAACAGCTGCTCTCCCAAGCCAAAGCCTGTCTTCCCATGGGAGGTGTTGAAAGGGGAGATGGGGGTGGGACACAGGTTTCCAGTGCAATCCCTGGTCAGAATTTGGAGAGTCTTCTGGAAGTGAATACCTGTGGGACTGTTGAACCACTTCCTTCTCCTGAAAACCCTGTGGACACCCAACTGCTGAGATGTCCCTGTTCTAAGGGTCACCTTGTGGTGTTGATCAAGGAGTGGGAGAAGACAAGGAAGAACGAGGACAGTGAGGAGTCTGTGTGGGATGGAAGGAATGTCAGTGTGTGTTGGATGGACTGGGGACAGGGGCTACATAAACTCATGGTGAATCAGGCACTGCTTCCACGTGGAAGGTGGCAAAACTTCATCTCAAACTTGTGCTCTGCTCTTCCATACCAGTCTTGAATCTCCTTATGCCAGAATTCCTTGCCCCTGGATCAACCTCTGGGTTTGGCAGTCCTGAGTATGGGCTTGCAGCCCTCTTTGTTCAGATTTAACTGCTGCTCTGAAGGTATTTTGTTTATAGGCTACTTCATCCTTAGTTTCTTTATGAAATGAAAGTCATCAGCATAAAGAGTAGATCTGTCTCACAAAGTACCTGGATATTGTACCCTGTTTTTCCAGGCAGGCTGTTCTGTAATGGCCTGAGCCATTTGCAAGGCTGGAAATGATGAAATGCAGTGCCTTGTTGTGCACTCAGGGAAGCAGTGCATTTTTTTTTTAATCCTAAAAGGATGCTCAAGATGTGCTGTGGTGAGGATGAGGCATGTGGAGATCAAGAGTATAGACAGCAGCTGTAGAACTGAAGATTTCCTGCCACTGGTTGGAAAAATAGAGACAAGTTACTCAAGGAGATGGACAAGGTCTTGCTTAAATTCCAAGAGAAAATTGGCTTTTCTGTCTGCTCTTTGCCTGCCTATCATCAGTCTTGAAGGATTCAAACCCTCAGTGAACAGAAACAGCTTTGCTACAGGTATGAAACAATTTAATCCTCATTATGAAGTGGTTTTTAACTCGTGGTTATAGTAATTTTAAAGAAAGGCGAACCTTCTGCCAAAAACAGACTTTTATTGAGGGTTAAATTGGAATTGGCTGTTGACTCATATTAAGCTTTTTTTTTTTCATTGCCTTGAGAAATGTGTAAAATAAAAAAGACATCCCTCCCAACCATTAGATGTTCAAATGGACAGCAGCCAGATCAGTGAGCCAAATTCCAGGGGCCTTTTGACATCATACTCACGCACAGAGGCTTTTTCCAAGGACAAAAGCTAATAAATAAAATTGTCTTTTTTTAGCTCATGTGCTTTTTCTTGAATTTTGTAAAGAGACAAAGTGATTGAGTGACAGAAACCTTAATTCTTTGCAATTTTTTTTTTTAATTTCTAGGGAACTTAAAAAAAATAAACCCTGAAAGAGCAAGAAATTGCTGTGACACTTGTGAGTAACTGAGGTTCTTCCTCCTTCAGAAAAAAACCCAAAAAGCAGCTTTTGGGTTCTTGTTCCAAATAGCAAATGCTGAATGACCTAAGAAAATCTGAATGGGTGTCTAAGGTTTGTTATTAGTTTTAGTTTCTCCAGTTCTAAAAGTAAACGTTTAATATATACTGAATTATTTAGAAAACTAATTAATGTTTCTGTTTTTCTACAATTTATTGAAAACCTGTTGTCACTGACAGTTCACATTTCGTACAGTTAGAGGGCCATTATTTTAATGTTATGCTGAATGTGGGAAGCACCTTTAACATTTAACATCATGTCAGGCTTTCGGGATGCCAAAATATTTTGTAATACTTTAAGTATCTGTCTCTTTGCAGTGCCATCAATACTGGTTATTTAGATTCCTCCTTTTTATGCAAGAATGGAAAATGTTGATTTAGTTTAGTTTTTAAATATGCTTACAGAACTCTTTGGGTTTATGAGCACTGAAAAAAAACCACAAAATATTTGGGTTTTTTTACCCCCAACGTGATATTAATAAACAGGCAGAGGGGGAAAGTCACTCAAAGAAACCTTGTACCCTGGGACCAAAATTCAAATGACATTTAAGTGACAAAAAGACACAAAGGCAAAATATCTGGTGTATATATAAGCAGGGTGGGTGCCTAAACTCCCCTCACATAATTGAGATGCTGAACAAGCAGCAGACAGAGTTACTTAAGCCTTTGGTTCTAAAATAGCAATGCTCTGAGCAAAGCCAGGCATTTGTAGGGCTTTGGAACAGAGAGCTCTAACCCACAGGAAACAGCCACTGCTTTATTTAATCAATCCTAAATTTGAAAGCTATCAGTCACTCTGTGTGCCTAAGGTAGCTTTGTCATTTTTCATTTAGTTCTAATTTGCATTCCCATGTTCTGCCCCGAATCTTGAGAGGGGAAAATAATCAGAATAGTGATGAAACATACATTTTTCATTTCACTTTATTGAAGTTCCTTATTTTTATTGAGTTAGGATTCTTTTGACAATGGTTGGCTGCACATCTCTGCTGGTTTAATGGCCAGCCCAGTTCATCAAAGCTAATGAGCTTTAACAAAAATAAATATCAAATGCGAGTCAAGGTTAAAAGTGGTGTCTTAAGTCAAGTTTTTCTGCCTGATGGTTTAAATCCTGGTTGGAATTGGTGACTGAAGGGTGATAAAGTGAACAGACTGGTTGCACTGATGGACATGGGTTTGAAGAGTGGTTGGCTCAGGACACATGGATGGAGCTCCACATCAGCTTCTGTCATTAAATGGAGAGGTAGGTCAAGTTTTTGTCTGTTTTGGGGTTTATTTTCCTTTTTTGTTCAGGGAGCTAATGGGTGTCTGATAAACAATTGGCTGATTTCTGTTATGCAGACAGTTGAAGGCAGCTGCTGATCATGTCAAGTTCCTGTTAACACTGAATAATTATTCATTTTGGGGAAGAAATAGCCTGTTGCCCATGAACTACAATTTACTAACAATGCATTATAGTCACAGGAATATTTTTTTCTTTTGTGACTAGGAGGCAACATTCCAAACCTTGTACATCAAGAGGCATCATGTAATAGGGCAGACTGAATACTAAAGGTACTAAATCATGTAATGCAGTTGTACAAAATCACTATAAATTCAGGAGGCAAATATTCTGATGGAACAGGATTTCTGGGGTAGTAAAAACCTCATCCACTGAAATTGGGAATTGCTAAACCTGTGGTTTTAAGGCTGTCGGGGAAACTGTAAGACATGGCAGGAGGGTTTGACATGTGACCTGGGACCCAGGGATGCACAGTCTGTAATAGTATCTCAGCACTAGAGTATTGATTAGGGCTCATTTTGTACCCAGTGTGGAGTTTTGCAGTTCAGGGAAGGGAAATAACGTGGCAAAGCTGGCAGGAGAGTTCCCAGCCCTGCCTCAGCCTGTTGGTCTCCTTCTCCCCAAAGACAATTCAAAACTATTGATTTGTTTCCACTTTCATTGAAATAACTGTTTTGAGAAGAGCTTTGGAAGTCTGGGTGAAATACAGAAATAAAGTGTCTGTCCCCTTGGATAAAACCAAGATGGATAAACCCTTGTTTGTTCCAAGGAAGGGAAAATTGGTGGCAATCCAGTGAGGGGCTCTGCCAGAGCAGGGCTTTGCTCCCTGATAATTTCATCCTTCTGAGCAGGTGCTTGCTTGCTTGGCCTTTTCAGGTGCTGTAAAAGTGAGTATTTAGCAGATATTTTGTGGTGCAAAGCTGCAGTGTTGGTGCTTTCATGACTGGACTGCTGCACGGTGTGTCTGGACAAGGGAGGTGGGGGGTGTGGGAAGCAGATCCTGGAGGGAATCACGGAATCACAGAATCACAGAATGGTTTGGGTTGGAAGGGACCTTAAAGTTCATCTCATTCCACCCCTTGCCGTGGGCAGGGACACCTTCCACTAGCCCACGTTGCTCAGAGCTCCATCCAGCCTGGCCTTGGACACTTCCAGGGATGGGGCAGCCACAGCTTCTCTGAGCAACCTGTGCCAGGACCTCCCCACAGTGCAGTCTCTGGAGCAGTTAGCAGGGCTGGGCACCTCTCAGTGCTGAGGCTGGATTTCTGAAAGAAAGGTTTTGTTTGCACTGAAATAATGTGAAAGCCACAGGGGGCATGAAAAATGCATCAGCTCCTGTGCTGGGCTGGCTCGTCCCGGTGGCTGCCACGTGTGGCTGCTCTGCCACCCCAGTGCTGGAGACCTTGGGGAACATATTGTACACTTGTAATGGATGTGAGCAACCTCAAAAACTCTGGCTGTGGCCTTCACGAGGCCTGCAGTGCCTCTTCATCATGTCACGTAACCAAAGGTATTAATAATCTGCAAAGCCTCTGTGCAGAGGGGTTTCTCCCTATCCATCCAGCCTGGCAGGTGCTCTGTCTCGATTATGCCTCAGCTCTGTTGTATCTGTCATGTTCCTGGGCTGAGTGACAGAGCAGGAAGGTGCCTCTGGTGGGGAGGGTTTCCTGCCTGCCTAATGGGGGTATAATTAATGGATGCAGCCAGTCAGCCGAGCAGAGGCACGAGCCCAGGAGAGATGGTCGGTGTGTCTCAGCCAACCAACCGTGCCTTGTTACACACCCTGTTTCAGTGGTGGTGTTGCATATTTACTTACATTCCAAGGCATTGGTACTTTTCTTTATTTAATTAATTTATTGCAGCGAGCCCTTTCACTGCCTCTGCATCTTTTGATTGCCAAACGCTTGGTTGAACCAATGCGGTGTCTCAGGTGAAGAGGAATGTGGTGCATGGCCAGGCAGGGTCTGGGTTCTTGGTTTATCACTGGGGATTCTGGATGTGATGCCTCTGACCAAGGAGGTCTCCTGGACCTGTGACCCTGTCTGTCACTTGTCTTGTTGCAGTATTCTCTCAGTGAGCCGAGTGTGCTCCGAATGGGCTGTCAGCAGAATCACAAAAATGTGACAGAATAAGTGTTTGTTTAGCTCTCATCCTGCTTCTCCCAAATTTTCCTTTAGGGAGGAGATGAGTCTCTCAAATGCCTGCTGTGAGGGGGAGCAGTGAAGGATAGTGAGGTTGAATTGTCCAGCCTGTTTGTTCACTGGGTGTTTAACCCAGCCATCATCATCACCAGAGCACAGGGAGAGCCTCGCTCTTCATCCAAGAAGGGGTTCATTACCTTCTGTGTTTTTCAGGATGAGCTGCCCTCTCCTGCTCCTGGCACATCTCAACTGGACTGTTGAGGTGCCACTTAGTGAGCCAAATGCTCCAGCCCTTTGGGATATTGTTACAAAGGAAAGCGAAAATGCTGTGGCATGGTGTCAGTGCTGCTCCTATTAACCGGTTTAATGAGCCTCTTCAATTGTTTTGGGGAGGAGCACAGTCTCCTGCTCGACCTTACTGTCCGTGTTTGCTGTCTGGTTACATGGCTCAGCTGACAGAGAAGTGGGAACATCAGCACCGGGGTCTCTCCCTTCCCGAGGGGAAAACAGCAGGATGCAGCTCAGCCTCGTGGTGCCCGCACACAAAGGTGGGCGTTCTGGAGACAGAACTCCTGGAGCCCAGCGTGGGGGGAGCAGCCACAGAGCTGTCTGCCTTAGTGACAAGGGTTTTCCTTTGCTCAGTCAATGAGTGCTGAGGCCCTGTGAGCTCCTGCAGGTCTCTGGGTCCACACCCTGCTCAGGTGAGCCCAGTGTTCAACCTCCTCCCCCCTGAGCTGTGCTGCCGCCCACTCGCATTTCCAATTTCACACCGACATGCTCTTGACGTTTACAAACGAACTCTCCTGTGTCGATCCACTTGAAAGCAACCAAATACGCTCTGGAGAAATACTTTTCTCCCCTGTCTCCTGTTGCTGTGGCAATCTCAGCTGCTGCTGAGCAGAACGAGCGGGAGAAGCTGCTGCCAGTGCAGGAGCATTCCTGCCTTCCCACATGGTCAGTGCTGTGAAGGGCATCCAGTGCCTGCTGCTGCCTGTCTCAGCAGTGATTTTACCTCTATAGTGGTTTTGAAATGCAAATCTCAAAGGTTTCTACGGAGAGAAGTAAATGAGAGCAAACTTGATGACTCGGGGCTCGGGAGAGCAAATGTCTGCCACAGACAGAGAGCTGGGTCTGCAATCCAGCTAGAAATGCCTTCCTCAACTTAGCTTGTACTCTGGGCTGGAGGGCAATTTAACCTTCCTTAAGGTTTTACTCTAGAGTTTCAGCTACCTCAGAACTTCACCTCTGGGTGCATCACCTCTTCCTCAGCATTACCCTCTTGTCCCTCCTCCCTCTGGCTCCATCCAGAGCGGTGACCCGATGATTTCTGGATAACGAGTTACTGCTCATCAGCTGCATTTGGTAGTTGAGTATGAGAAGCTCGTTGCAAATCCCAAGTTAGAATGTGTTAGCATGAACCACTGGGAGAGAGCACGTTCTCCTGTGCAGTAGGTGGAGATCACGGGGATGTTCTGTTAATCAGATCTGTCCGTGATGGGCTGACAGATGGCAGCTCCCTGGGGATAATGAGTCATTTGCTCGTGCAGGATGTTGAGTGTGGAATGGCAGTGTCCCTGCAGATTCTAGATGAAGCTCAGAGAGGACCTGAGGCCCCTGGAAAGGAGGATCTCTCCCTCCGAGGTGGAACTCATTAGCTGGAGACAATCAAGTCCATCCTGCCAGGTATCCTGGGCTGTCTGCCTGCCAGCTTTGGCTTTCCCAGGGCATCACAAAAGAAGGAAGAGAAGCTGTCTGACATCTGTGGGCTCTGATCTGCTGTGGAAGATTTCTGCCCCCAGCTTGGGGAGAGGGGGAATGTATTAAAAACCCAAAAGCAAACACTTGTAGGTCTGGTCTGTTGAGAGCATTGGAGTGAGGAGCAAGTCCCTCAGCCGAGGGAAGGGATGAGCTGCTGGGAGTGAGCAGCAGCAGAGTGATGTGGCTGTGCTGGCTGCTATCACAGGCGAGCTGAGCACCCTCTGTGCTGCCTGCAGGCTGTTCTGTGAGGAGGAGACGTGGCAGAGGTGGTGTTTGCAGACAGCAGCGCTCTCCCAGCATGCCTAAAGCCCCGGGAGTGAGGGTAGAAGCCAAGCAACCCCTGTGACACTTTTTTTTTTTTTTTTGGAAGGCTTTTCTCTTGGTATCCTCTCAAAATCCTCCTCTCCAAAGGCAGCTGTCTCAGCAGGGAGGCTGAAGCAGGGCCAGACGTGGTGCTGGCAGGGTGGGGGTGATGAATGAGTGGAACCCCCCTCCCTTCCTCTAGACTTAAAATGGGGGGAGAAAGGCATCTCTGCCAAGGATTTGACAGGCTTGTTCCTTGGCAGATAAGTTGGTTTTATCGAGTGGCTTGACATGTAATTCCACGCAGTGTGTAGATGTTTGTCTAATGTAGATGTTTGTCCTCTTTCCTGGAGGAAGAGATTTTTCTATCCATCCTAAAAAATTAACCTTGTGTAATGGTGCATTTCCTCGGTGAAAATGAGTGTGGAGGTCTGTCAAAATGTCAGGCTTGCCTGGAACGAGGGTCCTGCAGAAGACAAGTGGCATTAGTGTGTTTGAAGATGGTTCATTTAGAAGTAATGAAGTCCCCAGGCTTTTGGAGACCCTGTTAATTGGACTGAGGAGGTTACAAAGCCCAGGAGGGAAATGCTACTCAGAGCTGGGCAGACAGAGACACTCACAGAGGGAGAGGGTCAGATATAGGTTGTTTCTACTGTAAAATGACATCAGAAGGATGTGCAGAGTTGTTCTGAAATTACAGTCCTCCGCCTGAATAATTTTAGGGAATTCAGTTCTATACAGTAAAACATGGAGGTTTGATTCTAGGGGAGAAAGGGGCTTGGGTCTGAGTTTTAGTTTGAAAGGAGTTCAAGGAAAGAAACACAACCCCGCTCTGCTCTGTGAATCATCAGGCAGGTTTGCAGGACCATAGAAATGAGTAATAATAATAATAAAAAAAAAAGTCAGGAGACTTCTTGAAGCTTCCAGATTTGTAAGGCTGCAAGTCAGCACACTGTGTCTCCTCTCTGAAAAAAACCTCTTGCTGAGAAAGGGCCTCCTCACAGAACCTGAAACTGGTTCCTTTACAAGATGTGTATTTTTTGATTGTAGGGACAGGGTGTTTGAATGGAGACGTGTTTTCTGCCTGAGACACTGGGCAGGGAGTTGCTCTTGACAGCTTCATTTGGGTATTAAAATATTTTTTCAGATAATGCTGTTTTTCTCCTGAAGGCTCCCAAGCTTTTACAACAGCGGATTAATTACCTTGTTTATGGGGAAACTGAGGCAGGGGACTTGGGGTGGCTGCAGCCCACACTCAGCAGCACTGGCAGATTCTTGCTGCTTGCCCCAACTTCTCAATAACCGAACACAACAACGTCTGTTAATTGCCCTTTCTTTGCAAAATCCACTTATTTCATAAGCACCAACACCAGGGGCTAGGAGGGTGAGTCGATGTTGCTCGTGTTGAGACTTGGCCTTATAAATCCAGCTTGCCTGCTGGAGACCTGCTGCTGGTGTCAGTGGTCAGTATAAAAAGCATTTAGGTTTTGCATTCTCATGGCAGGAGCTTTCTGTTGATGTTAGGGATGTTGTTTTGGCCTTGGACACCTTCTCCTAACAAACCCTTTGTCCTTCTCCAGGGAAGCTTTCAAACTCACCACTGAGGCTCTGAACTGGCTTTAAATGAAAGGTGTTGTGCTTCTGAAGTGCCCTGCCCAAGAGCTCTCCAGCAATCCAAACAGCCAGCAGACAAAGCCATTAAACCTGAAGTGCCCATGCATGATTACCTGGCAGAGAGCTGCAGGAGAGGGTTTGCAGCTGAGTCCCACAGGAACAGGCTTTGTCTGAAAAACAACCCCCGGCAGGTGCAGACTCGGTTGGAAAAAGCCAAGGTAGGTCTTGTTGATTCACCAGGGTGGGTGGTGCAGTCCTTCAGTTCAGTGGAGAGCACAGCAAGCGGGAACAAGCAGAAACGAGATTAGAGGGGTGGGAGGGAAATGTTTGAAATGGGCCTCTGTGCTTTCCCCCTCTGCTCAGGCACCGTCTCCCTGAGAGGTGGAACTGAGCCACTCGAACTTCCAGCTTGTGTGACTAATGGCCTCGGTGTCTTACACCCTGAAAGCAGACACATGGCCTTGAGAAGTCAGATCTGATCTCTTCAGTCACATTTGCAGAGTGAAACCCCACGAGTGTGGCTCCTGTACCGACTCCAAGCTCCTTCACCTCCTGGCATCGCTTCCATTCGGAACACGTAGCTTCATTTTCCCTCTCCTTACTGCACCAGCTGGAGCAGCTCCTTCCAGGGTGGGGAGTCTCATGTGCACACACTGCTGAGCGAGGAGAGTGCTTGGAGATGAATGTGCACTTCCCCCCTGTGGCTTAGAAGGCTATATCTATATTTTTAGGGATTTTTTTTATTGAGGTACGAAAGGAAGATTATGGCACTTGATGATTTAATCAACATAATCTCTAGATAAAACATGCTTATGTTATACTACTGGGAGATATTAATTTATGCTGGTTTGCTTCTCCTAAGGTAAATTAAATCATTAGTTTTAAGACTGGATTAGCTGCACATGTGCCCTGCCTCTTAAAAAGGCAGTTCAGGAGTTCTTAAAAGCTTCTTGGCTTGGCATTTCTTGGGAGCCGTCAAATCCCTTTGGTGCAGGTGTCACGAGAAGTGGAACTGAGATGCAGCACTTAAAGGTGCAGCCACCAGCTCTGTGCTGACATGGGACCTGTTCCTGCCCTGTGCCCCCTCCTTCACCCAGGAGTAGTATTTTACCAGCTCCTGAATTCAGTGAGAAGGGTTTGCCCTGGATCTGGGGGACCAGCAATTGCTCCTTGGATCAAAGCAGTACCTGGAGCACCTGCTGTCACTGGTGGGGGCTGAGCTGTTCAGGGTGTGTTGGAGCCAAGTGGTTGGTGTCCACATCCATCTCCCACTGGAGAGAGCACCAGCACATCCAGGATGTGTTAAGTGTCCAAGGCCAGGCTGGATGGGGCTCTGAGCAACAGGGTCTAGTGCATCTTCCCATCCATGGCAGGGGGTGGAATTAGATGACCTTTAAGGTCCCTCCCAACCCAAACTGTTCTGGGATTCTGTGATGATGTGTTGACTTGAAAACACACCTGAGCAGAGCCATGGCCCAGGTGGTGGTGGGTGACCTTGGGAAGTACCATCAGCACCTCTGAACTGGCTGAAAATTCCCCAAAATGTATCAGTGAAGCTCTTGAGTGCCCAAGAAGAACTAAAGGCAAAAGATGTTCACCGAGGCGGGTGGAGGATGTTACAGCTCTTTCATACAGGCAGGGAGATCGAGGCACGTTCTGCCTCTTGTCATGGAGGGCAGGAGCAGAGTGTAGGAGTGAAATCTGGATGCTTGAGGCCAGTGCCCCCTCCTGGAGTCAATGGATTTGGAGCAGAGGTGCTGAGCTGAGCCAGCACAACTTCTCCTTTGCAGCTCCTCTCAGGAATACCTGGTGTGGAGACGTTGGCTCCAAGTGTGGAGGTGCCCTGTCTGCTTGGGTGGCCAGTGGCTCTGGAGAGGGGACCAGGCCCTGCTGCTGAGACAGATGGGGATGGCTCCCTACCACCCAGGGGGAGCAGAACTGACAGAGGCCCTCACAGCAATTTCAGGGCTATTAAGGATGTGATAATGAGCTTTGCCTGCATCATTTTTCAGCACTTCACTCCCCCGCCCCCAGCTCAGCCCATGCATTAACACCTCCATCCCAGGAGGACAGCAAACACTCCACTGAGCTCTGACTCCATTTATCATGGATCTGGTCATCAGCAGGGCTGCTGCAGGTGGAGGGGGTGAGGAGAGAAAGGTTGCTCAGCTCTCCATCAACAGTGAGCAGGTGCTGAAGGTACAGGTTTGATCAAAGGAACAATTGCTGATCCCCCCAGACCCGGGGCAAAACCTTCTCACTGAATTCATGAGCTGGTAAATAATAGTCGGGTAAAGGAGGAGGCAGAAAGTAGAACTTGCTGCTACAGGATGCTCTCAGCCCTCTCTGGGTTCTGTGCTTGTGGAGGATCTTGTGTGGGATGGTCTCAATGCACCCAGGAAGGGGCACATCCATATGCTGTTTGCCATGCTTTCCTGGTGCTATTTTCCCTGGAACAGTCAATCCTTTGGGCTGATTCTGCACGGCACATCCTGGGATGGTGGAATCTTCCCCCGCTTTGCCTCTCTGGATCCTGGGGCCATCTGCTCCTGGCTGGGGTGGGTGTGCTGGGGGCTGCTCCAAATGTGGGGCTTTGGCTGTGGCACAGCCAGGGGACCTGTTCCCTATGGGACAGAGCCAGCTTGCTCCTGGGGGAAACTCCTGACTGCTCCTGGGAGTGGGTTAATATCTCCACAGGGGGCAGGACAGGGATGAATTAATGAGGTGAAGGGTGGGAAGCAGGGCTGGAGGTGCCCTGAAGCAGCTTTTTCTTGTGTAGCTCTTCCCACTGCGCTGCTGGATGGTGGTGCCTGTGCAGAAAACAAGTTCTTGCTTCATGATTTCATTTTTCCTATTTGAATATTCAGAGGCACTTTTTCTGCTTGAATATTTAGAGGTGAGTGTCTCTGTGTAGCGCTTTTGCAGTTGATCTACAGTGTGATGCTCTGGCACTGGGATTAAATGTTAATGCAGGAGGACTGATACAGTCTGTTCTGAACTGGGCACCTCCTGGAGGTCTGTGGGCATTTGGGGAATAAAATCAGGTAATATGTCCCTTTTCCACCCGTAGATGTGCCTGTTGGTGAGTTCAGACTCTTCTCCATCCCCACCTGGCCGCAGGCACCCTGGAGAGGCATCCCTGGGGCTGAGCTCTTGACCTTCAGCTTGCTCTGATGGAGGCCCCTCTGTTCCTGTTGATTGTGTCCAGCTCCTCTGTGCCTTTCCCTTGGGTGATGCCCAGGCAGGGAATGCCTCACACAAGGTAGAGATCACCTCCCTGTTGCCACGTGGGTGCCTCCTCTTACCAGGAGAGGAGATGGAAAGATCCCCAACTGGTACCTGTCACTTTTGACTGCAAACATCAAGGATGTGTCACTGACAGAGCAAAAGGGGAGCAATGTTATTTTTGGCTGGATCAGGCTGTTTTCTCTCTCCAAGTACCACAGGCTGACAGGAGGTGCTGCTGAACGCTCATTCTCGTTTACCTTTGCCTTGGTGCACAAGGGGAAAAAGTACTTTTTAAATTAAAATGGAAGTATTTGTAGTCTTTCATGCTGGCAGAGACCTGGCAACAAGTGATATGCAAAATGTGTTTTGACTTGGTTTAATATCTCTTTCAGGCTGCTGATGCCTGTCCTGCATCTCCCTACCAGCCATCCAAGGTTTGTCCCGCAGCCGCAGAGGATCAGACAGATCAGTGTTTGGGAGCAGGGGCTTTGCTGCCACAGAGATCTCCACACTCCAGTCCTTGGTCTGCAGCCTGGGAGAGAGCCAAAGCAGGTGGGTTTGAAAGACAGAGCAGGAGAGGTGGGAATCCCTTGCTCCCAGGAGAGCAGGCACGCTGCAAGCAGCACTGGGAGATGCCAGACCCAACAGATGCTGAGCCATCCCCCCTTTCTCCATCCATGCATCTTCCCAACACGGAGAGATCAAACCAGAGACAGCAGGATTATTTATTGAGGCGTTTGTTTGAAGTTGAATGGACAGGAATCACATTTCAAAACAGTAAAGAAAGGGCTTTTTAGCTCTTTTCCATCCTACAAAATAGCAGCGGCATCGCGGCGGGGATGTCAGGGCGAATCTGTTTCGCTGACAACAAGATTGTTCTGTCTAGACGGGGAAGCGCCGCTGAACCGAGGGGAGGCTGCGGAATAATTTAAAGCCAAAATACTTTACAGACATTAAATTTACAAATAAAAACTGGCTTTGACACAGACGATGCCTGATGGATGGTTTGTGTGCCGGTGGGGTGGCGGCTGGCTTTGACGCGGAGCTCGGTGGCGGGGATTGGCAGGTGCCACTCGGGGTGACCTGGTGCCTGCTGACCTGTCACCTTTCCCAGGCAAGTTCTTCCACCAGAGTGGGTCCATCGAGGCATCTGGGTGCCTCGTGGAGCTCAGTGTGGGGTTCTCTGCAGCATCTTGAATTCTGCAGTTCCTAGGCAGCTGCCCAGGCTCCCTGTCCCCTCAGTGCCTCGTCCCCGCTGTGCTGCCTGACCAGTGTCAAGGGATGCCAGAGCAGAAGGGGCTGTGTGGGAGGAAGATGAGCCTTGCACTCCCCATCTGCCTGGAGGGGCTGGCAGCCAGGGCTGTCTGAGGCACAGGGATGTGGTGGTGAGGTTGCAGCCCAGCCAGCATAAGGAATTTACTTTCTTCTGGCAGAAAAAGAAAGATGAAATATTAAAAGCTTGGCTCAAAGGCTGCTATATATATGTTTGGGGTTTTTTTTTTCTGCTGCTCTGCAGTGCTTTGGTGTGTTGCTCCAGCAGCTGGTCAGAGCAGGAGAATGCCAGCCTTCCAGAGAGAACAGGGAGTGGGGCTGAAAAAAAGGGAGGAAGAGGAGACATGACTCAGGTGGGCTGACCTTGGGGCTCAGGGTGAATGCTGACAGCCTTTAGGACTTATGCTTTAGTTTTCTGCTCAATGTCAGGAACTAAAAACACCTTTTCTTGTCTCTATCTCTTCAGGGGAGGGCAGTGCCCCTCTGAATCAGGAGGACACCTCTGCATTGACCAGTGTCCTTGGATGAGGGAGGATTCAGGTCGGGAAGAGCAGAGGGCTCAGCCAAGGCATCAGTCAGCTCGCCCTGGAGAAGTCCTGCTGGCTCCCAACTTGCCATTTCTGCCATTCTGGTGAGTCCAAGAGTCCCTGAAGACTTCCTCAAGTGGTGATGGTGGAGTTTTCTCCCAGGTTTAAGCTATTCCAGTTACTTCTGCTGATGAACTTGGGGGCTGGCTGTCGAGGGAGAGCATTGCTGTTGGGCAGCAAGGTGTGCTGACAGAGGTGTGCTGTGTTCTAGACTCTGCTGTGTCTTAAATTTGAGGCTTCCTGGTTTTTTTTCCCAAGCAGTCCCCGGACTTTGTGTCCCTTGGTGCAGCTATTCAGCTGCTAGGTGGGCAGCAGGAGCCAGCATCCCAATGGAGTACATTCCCAGGGAGTGCAGGAGGAGATAACTGCAGGGAAGGAGAGCTGAGAGCTGGTTGTCTGCCAAGGGAGGATTTGGAGGGATGCAGTTCAGGGTGTTTAAGCTGTTCCTTCTGTCTCTTCCTTTGACATCTCTTGTCTGTGTCAGCGGGTCTGGGCCCTGGGGAATGTGGGAAAGGGAAGATGCAAGTCCAGCAGGGCAGAGAGTGGGTTTGGAGCAGTCTTAACTTTACACCTCTGCAGACCCTGGCAATGAGGGCTACTTATCTGCTGATCAGGGATGTGCCCAAACAAAGCAGACTGGGGAAACTGTCACTTATCAGGGCTCACAAAATGGGATGAGCTGTGAAATGGAGCTTGACCTTGACTCCAACTCCAGCTGCTGCCTGGTCTCTCATCCCTTGGCTCCTGTAGCCTCTGGCAGGGCAGGATGGGGACAGGCAGCAGAAGGGGACCCTGATGTCCCTCCTCCCACACCCTTGCCTTGTGCTTCCCCCTCCCTGCTGCTGCCTGTGAAAGACCCTGTGATTAATTACACCACTCTGCAGCCTCTGAACGTTTATTTAAGGTGTTATGTTTGCTGCTGCTGCTTTTACACAATGGCAAATGTGCCATGGCTATGTCCTGAGCAGGTGACAGCTAATAGGTCACTGAAGTGCATCACACCATTGGAACTGTTGAAATGGGCTCCAGGAACAGGGCAGGTAGAGGGAATGCTGCTGGGAAGGTGAGACAGGTCTGCTCTAGCAGAAATGCATTGGTTATGGTGCTTACAGGAAATTGCTCACTTCCCTGATAGCATCCACTGCTTTATAAGATCAGTGTTTCCACTAGTTTGTCTAACTTAAACTTTCTTCTCCCTGCATCCTAAAAATTAGTCTAATAGGACTTTTAAAACTCAGATAGGTTTGAAAGTTATTTTCCTCAAGGAATTTCACTTTCCTTGGGGTGGTCAGAAAAAGAGGGGCTTGGGGAGGGTTCAGCTGAAGGACACAGCTTCAAAAAAGCCTCCCCAGAAATGCTGCCAAGGGCCTGCAGAAATCAGCCCAACCTGAAATAGCTGGTGGCCACCCAAGCTGATTCAAAAATCCCCTTTGCCTCTGAGCATCTTGCTCAGTGCTGCTGTCAGAGGATTAGGGATGGTGCACCTTAAACAGACAAAACTGTTGTACCTGCTTTTCAGAAAACAGAGAGGCAGGTGTGACTCCCCAATTCCTGGAAGGGAGCAGGTTTGTTTGGACCTGTCTCTGATTCCAGTGCAGTGGGAATCTCTTCCTGACAGCCTGGTGCAGAGCTGGCTGTGCTGTGCCACTTCCCAGAAGGAAGGGAAGCAGGAGCTGTGCTGCTGCGTGGCTGTGCCAGCAAAAAGCTGCAATCAGTTTGCTTTGTGCAGTGTTGTGAGCTGGGCCTGTGCACTGTCCCCACAGGAACATGGGGCTGGGCAACAAACATCCCAGTTTGTTGCTCTGGGATGCTGTTGGGCTGCATCAGTGGGAGGCAGAGCCTCCACAGGCATCACCTTGTGATGCCAGAGCTGCTACATCCTCTGGGTGATGTACCACCAGTGTGTGTGAGGGTGTGTGTGCTGCCTCTGCATGCTCTACAACCAGTGCCTCCAGCAGGCTGCCTCCTCACTGGAAAGGCAATTCAGATATCCCAGCTCCTCCTGTTTCTCCCCTGTAAGGGCAGTACTGTTTGGTTTTAATGTTTCTGTGGAGCTGGTTTGTATAAACTGAAGCAGGTCATATTTATTCTATAGAGCTCTGTAGGTGTCCTGCACTGGATATCCCCTCCCAGTGCACTGGGAGCAATTCAGCTTCAGGAATCATCACCAATACTGTTATCTTTATTGCCAGTCCTGCCTGATAAATCTGCTCCCTCCAGGATGGCTGAGCCTGTCGAGTGAGCCAGGCCTAAACACACACAGATGCAGTGGGAGAGAGCAGAGCTTGTGCTCAGGAGCTGTTTGCAGGGATCTCAACAACAGGCACTCAAAAGAACCCCAAGGGCTGCTTAAAAAACATGGAATTAACAGAGCTCTTGCACAGCCAGCCTTGTGAGTCCCTGGGCTCTTTCCAGCGTGGTGGGGACTGGGGTTCAGGTTCTTCTCAGCTTGGAGGGGTAGAAATGTGGGCTCTTTGTCCTTTCCCTCACCTGAGTCTGGGCCATTGTGCTGCACATCCATTGCAAAACTCAGCATGGAAACAGTGGCTTGTGCTGGACTATGACTTCATGAGCCCAGGGTTGCCTTACTGGGCTGTGTCCCAGGTAAGCAAGAGTGTCCTTCAGTGTCCTGTAGGATAGAGCAGGGGTGTGTGTCACCAGCACATGGTGCCCCCTGTCCTGCCACCCACAGGGGCTGAAGCTGGGCTGGGAGCCTTAGTTTGGAGATCTTTGTCCATAGTGGCATCTTCCCCTGAGTTCAGGTGGCTGTGGGAGCCAGGAGCTCTCGTCTCACCCACACCAGCTGCCTGGCTGGTTCTGGCAAACAGCCTTTCTCCTCCCTCCTGCTGAAATGCTGGTACCACTTTTCCCCTCCATTCCAGGCCTGAGTGCCTCACAGGAACATCCCTTGATCTGGGAGCTCCTGGAGGTGTGGATCACAGCTGGCTTCTCATGGAGTCAGGACAGCTCCCTGGGCAGAAGCAGCTCCCCAAGCCCCCACCCCGCTGCCTGCACAAGCTGGTTTCTATGTGGCACGTCTGGTAGCACCACAGAGCTGTCCAAATTCACCCGGGTGCTGAGGATGCACCCTTGTATCCATGGCTTCCTGCTGGGAAAGGGATTGCTTCTGGCTTGGAGCATCTGATGAGAAACAAGTCAGATGCCAACTACTGCACCTGCTGCATTGGCTCTTCCTGAAGGATGGAAACAGTCGGAGAAGGCCCCCTCTCTGCCACCATCTCTGGGCAGAAGAGGCTTGTGGAGCCTGGCAGGGGCAGAGGAGCTCTCTGGGGAGCAGGGGAGGTCGTGAGCTCCCAGCCCTGGGGTCTGCTGTCATCCTGGTGCTGCAGGAGCAGGGCTGGTCTGTGCCCCAGCCGTGTCCCAGCAGTGATGGCAGGCACTGCCTGCTGCAGCTGGGCTCTGAGCAGGCAATGGAAGTGCAGAAAGCTGCCTCCCAGCTCCCTTCTGAGGCCACGGGATTTCGGTAGAGAAAGTGACTTTTATAGAAATAAAGGAGACTTCCTTTTGGGTCAAGTGCTCTGGAAATGAATGATTTTGAGATGAAAGCCTTTTTTGCTCTGGTAATACAGACTCACATTGCCTAGAGGGAAGTCTGCCTTGTGCTGGGGTGTTTTTCCCTCTGGGGGCATTGCGATTGCAGTTGAAGATGAATTTCCAACATACAAAGGAGAAGAAGAAAGCTGAGAGAAGGCTTTAAAACATATCAGGGGTTCTCGTGGTCTGTTTTAATTTGTCAGCATGTCTCTCTCGCTTGTAACATCCCTGTTGGGTGCAGACTGTTCCTCCTCTTCCCTTTGTGACTTGCTCCTTCCCTCTGGCATCTTCATCAATCCCAGGCTCTGGTTTTAATATTTTTATTTTCTTTTTTCTTTTCCTTTTTTGCACCCAGGGCTGGTTGGCAGAGCAGCAGCAGCTCCTGTGTGCTATATTGGGTGGGGATCACCTCGTGAATTGGACTGGGAGAGATCAGAGAATTACAGGATGGTTTAGGTTGGAAGGGACCTTAAAGACCATCTAGTTCCAACCCCCTGCCATGAGCAGGAATGTCACCCACTGGATCAGGTGGCTGAGGGTCTTGGCTGGCAGGGGGTGAGGAGAGACCAGCCCTCAGCCCTGAGAGCAGCCAGGTGAAGCCCTTTTTGAATGCTATGACATGGACCCTTTCCCAGTTTATCATCTGGAGGGTCTCTTTTGAAAACATGTTTTGCTCAATGGACTGAAGGTCCTCAAAGCCTGTTTGGCTTTGGTAAGACCATGGGAAGCACCAGAGTGTCCCATTTCTCTGCTTTCAGCTGGTTTCTGCCCCCCTGCCCTGCGGGGATGAGGTGCAGGCAGGGCTTTGCTGCTGCTGAGTGTGAAGTGCTGTAAAACCCAAGCATTGATTTCTCAATCAAAGGTGTCTGTTTTCTCCTCGGTCTGGGCTTTAATGCCTGAAAATCCATTTTTCACTCCCCAACAGTTTGCTGTAAGGTTTTTAAAGCAACTGTTGTGCTTCAGAGCTTTGGGAAGGGAATGGATTCAGTCGAGCTGGCTCACCAGTGAGTTTTGAACCAGACAGAGAACAGATGGAGCCTGGGGGGGCTCTCCAGTCTTAGGTGAGACCTTTGCCTGTGTCTCACTGTGGTACAGGACAACACTGTTCTCCAAGGCTTTGGAAAGCTGTGGGTCTCCCTCCTTGACAGTGACCCTGGTTCAGCAGGTCTGTGGTGCCCAGGCTTTGTGGATTGTAGGCTGCAATTCAGGATGTCCTGAAAACAGATGCCAGAAAAAACTCAAGACTTTTATATGAAAGAAAAAAGGAACACCACGTTCCCACCTGTGCTTCCCATATTTTCATGGCAATCACAATGTTTGTTCCCTGTTTCCAGAACACTGTACTGTGCTGCTTTTCAGGGGCTGTACAGCTGATCCAAGCCTTGTTGAAATGCAGCTGGTTTTGGGGAGGAATGGAGCAGCTTGGGGCAGCAAGGATTGCTGCTGCCTGGGACTGTGCTCCCGCAGGGATTGCTGCT